GTACTCCATGAGGAGCATCTGCTCTTCCTGTCGGCGGGTCTGTTCCTCCTGTCGACGAGCCTGTTCATCCTGTCCGCCCCGCAGCTGCTCTTCCAACCGACGGACCTGTTCCTCCTGTCGGCGAGCCTGCTCCTGCAGCATCACCATGAGAGTACCTAAGTCTGGTGCTGCAGGTGTAGGAGCTGCTGACGGGCCAGCCTTCGTGGTTGGCAGTTGGCCCTCTGACGTCTGCGGCGGTGCACCACCAAATCGTCTCTGGTCCGTCTCCTGCTGGCGTTGACTTCGGATACGGACAACCTCCGTTTCCTCCTTAGGTAAAATCGGCATGATTTAATCCCACTTAACACCAATTGTTACGAGCTTGAGGTTCGTGACAATAAAAATTGCTAACAATAAGAATTACCAAAATTAACACTTTAATTCACTTTACACTAATTAAAACTTAGACACTAATAATTAATCACACTGATTCACTTTATTTCGCTCCGAAGCTTCGCTTATCTCGCCAAATTCAATACTACCCCGATCGTTAATTGTCGTCTTCACGCACTGCCGTACGTGTAGGTAACGGGCCTCGGGGTGACCCCCATTGCCCGGGTGTCCTCATGTCCCATCGCTATGGGACAGTCCTTTTGCCTATTAGGCTAAATAGCATACCGGGTTTGTTCCGTATTAAAGTATTGTGTTGTTTCCGTAGTTAACCAACTACGGAAAAAGGTGGTTATCTGATTGAGTCTGGGTTGGCCTTTCTGCGGCATTGTGGGTTGTTACTCAACTCTCTAATCACATATAGAGAGGAGTTCTCTTGGAAGAGGTCGCCCGTCCGGTGGCCGGGTATGCAACGGCGCAAAGCCGTTGAGATGTTCATGTGGCCCGTTATCGGCACGGTCAAACATGCCGCGCGCTAACCGGGCCAACCCCGATCGCATCTTGCAGCGCCTTTAAATACACATTATCACCGAAACATCCAGAATATTCAAGTAAATACGCGCGCCAATCGACCAGGCGCCGAAAGTTCGAGTGTAGGGCTTCTAGAAAGTTTAGTTCTTCAACTAGATGGCGCTGTCGGTTGAAAGATTATTCATGTCATTTTCTGGAAAGCTCTCCTCGCTTTGTTACCCGACACTAGATGGCGCTAGTGCCAGACGTCAACTTAGGGGCGCAACAGTATTATATATACAAATACATTACTTTATGAGGAAGGAAACAAAAAAAATGGCCCCGAGTTCCCGGTGCCCCTTTAATGGGGCAGGGGTGCGAAGAATCTCCGGGAGGAAAACCGGCGACGAGGTTCGCCACCCGTCACGTTCTGTCTCCCGGAGGGGCCGAAAAGTGGATTGCAGAGGCCCGTCTGGCTACGTTGAATGTATGTGGCGCAATGAATGATAAAATGGATGAAGTATGCGATATGATGTATGATAGAGGAATAGATGTTTTATGTGTAAATGAGACGAAACGGAAGGGGAAGGATGTCACTACACATGGCATGTATACCGCATACTGGTCTGGTGTAGACGAGATTGAGCGGGCATACCAGGGAGTAGGTATCATCCTTTCAGAAAGAATGGGCCTATGTGAATGTGTAAGCCCAAGACTGCTATGGATACGAATGAAAGTGGGCTTAAAGAAGTTGTTTGTGCTAGGGGTCTACGCCCCAGACATGTCTAAGCCCACTTATATCCGAGAGCAGTTTTGGGAAATGGTAAGGATGGTGTTAATGAAATGTAAGGGAAATGAAAATATTATTATGCTAGGAGATTTTAATGGAAGGGTTGGGGTGAGGAGGCTTGGTTATGGAAGTATATTGGGAATGTTTGGATATAAAAGTATAAATGAGAATGGTGAAAGCCTCCTCACCGTATGTATGGAAAAGAATCTTTTTGAGACGAACACTTGCTTTCGCCACAAGAGGATTCACACGTATACTTGGGAAAGAGGTGATGATAGAAGCATGATAGATTTCGTAATTTTGGATGAAAGAATGAGGGGCGCAGTGCTAGATACAAGGGTTTACCGGGGTGGTTTTATGCCGAATTAATGGTCTATTCAGGCGTTGACGCCATCGGTCATCTGTGTCTACCACTGCGTTACAGCGTATTAGAACTGAAATGTTACAAGAGGAAGGTGAGAAAAACAAGTTCAAATGTAGACTGAAAGAAAATATAAGTGGTTTGGATGAATTATGTATGAATGAGTTAGACTTGGATAATGTATGGCAAAATGTTAAGTGGATGCAGCTACCGAAGTATGTGGTGTTAGTAAGAGAAAGATTGAAAGGAAAAATAATACGTTATGGTGGGACGATGAGATACGTATGGAAGTCGAAGCAAAGAGAGAGCATGGCTAGATTTACTAGCAACAAAGGCTGGTAATTCTAGCGGTACGAATGATGATATTGAAAGAAAGGCAGTCTTTAGACATCTAAATAAGAGAGTAAAAGAAGTAGTTGAAAGGAAAAAGCAAGAAAGAACGGATAAGAATGATAGAAGGATGTCTGATAACTTCCAGGCAAATATTAAAATGTTCTGGAAACTCGTAAGAACTGCCAGGGGAAATTCAAAACAGCCTAGAATGAATGCTATACGAGACGAGAATGGCTATATTCTGAATGATGAAGTTTTGAGTTTAAAGAGATGGAAGGAATATTTTGAAAGAGTTTTTATGAGTGAGGAGACAACGTATAAAATAAATGAAGTAGAAACTCCGAAAGAAGAGGAAAGGAAAGAGGTAGGTAGGTAGTAATAAGTATAGATGAAATAATGAAAGCAATAAAAAGCATGAAAGCAGGTAACGCTGCCGGATATGATAGAGTTTCACTCGAAATGCTAAGGGCTGAGGAGGAAGTGGTGGCAGGCCTGCTGCACACCTTGTTTAATTTATGCTGGGAACTGAAGCGGGTACCGGTAGACTGGTGCAAAGCCGTGATAGTCCCAGTATATAAAGGAAAAGGGTCGCAGCAGGACTGTAAAAACTACCGTGGTATCAGCCTTCTTAGCATTGTGGGAAAACTGTATGCTAAGGTACTGATTGAAAGGGTCATGAAAGAAACTGATGTAAAAATTTGGGATGTGCAAGCGGGATTTAGAAAGGGAATGGGATGTACAGATCAAGCCTTTTCCATGCGCATGATCGCGGAAAAGTTTTTGGCCAAAAACCAAAAGGTTTATTGTGCGTTCATGGACTTGGAAAAGGCCTATGACAGAGTGGATAGGGATGTGCTATGGCAAACACTGAATTCATTTGGGTTGAACGCTGGCTTGATACAGGCATTGGAGTCGCTTTATAGGTACTCTAGTGCTTATGTTAGGATCAACGAGGTCTACTCGGACTGATTTGGCATCCATAAAGGTGTCAGACAGGGCTGTGTGGTTTCCCCGTGGCTGTTCATCCTATTTATGGACAGTTGTTTGCAAAATTTGAAAATTGAAGAATGCGGATTAAGAATGGATGAGTTAACCATCAAGTGCCTTTTGTACGCCGATGAACAAGTTATTTTTGCATCGTCGGCGGCCGAGCTGCAAATGATGGTTATATTAATGAACAGATTATTAAAAGAAAGGGGTATGAAAGTGAACGCAAGTAAGACGAAAGTTACGGTTTTTGAAAGAGAAGAAAGTAAGACGATATGTGAAATAAGAAAAGAAGGGGAGTTGATCGAGCAAGTAGATGAGTTTGTATATCTGGGTTGCGCATATTTAGCAGGGATGGGAGATGTGATAAGGATATAGAACGACAAGTGAATAGGAAATAGAATAAATGGGGCCCTACACTCTATAGTGAAGAGTCAAAATGTGTCGAAAAAGGCACGTATGGTAATTCACAATGCTCTGTTGGTCCCTACTTTAACGTATGGTAGTGAAAGTTGGGTGTGGCAGAAGAAGCACGAGAGTAGAATGAACGCAGTAGAAATGCAGTTGTTAAGGAGTATGTTAGGGCTGAATCTGAATGACAGGGTAAGAAATTGTGTAATAAGAGCAGAGTGTGGTTTGCAAGATGGTATTTTGTGACCAGGATTAAGAAAGGAATGCTTCGGTGGTTTGGTCATGTGGAAAGAATGAATGAGGAAAGAGTGACAAAGAAAATTTATGTTGCAGAAGCGAATGGCAGAGTCGGAAAGGGATGTCCTAGGCGAAAATTTATCGAGCAAATTGGTGATTTATTGAAAACGGGCCAAATTAGGAGTACCCTTAACCGACGAGCATGTATGCATAGGTGTATGTATGCGAAGGAGGCGAGAGAGGTGTGTCAGGATCGTGCCAAATGGAAATCTGTAGTTTCTACCTACCCCTCTGGGTGACAGGTGTGTTTTATGTATTACTTTATAATAATTATTATAAATTTACTATCGTAAATCTGACTCCAAAACCGGCGCGGTGGCTTAACAACTTATGTGAGGGCCTCGGGTTCGAATCCCTCACAGAACAAGTATTTGTTAGCATAAAAATAACTGTTCCAAGTCTGGATGTTTGTCCTTGTATTATAATAACTTAAGTGATTATCAAAGATTGAGTGATTTTTTTTTTTTTTAAAAAAAAAACAAATAATAATGTATTTTTGCATGTATTATGACTTATCAGTATCTTGATAACTGATAAGACATGCAAAAAGTGAAGTGGCCCAGGATAATTTTTTGCATCATTGCTTGGGGAAACCTATTGTTCAGTAGCAGACTTGTGATAGATTATAATGATCACAATGATGATTAGCTGAACCTAGTAAGGATGGTGTGCTAATAATTTATGAAATAAATTTATTTACTTATCACAAGATATTGTCTAAAATATTTATTAGAAGGAAAAATACAACATAACTAACTAGTAAAGAAAGTTTTATAACATAGTCAGTTATAAAAGGACTATAATACTTGAAATAAAATACAATTATAATTACACATAATACCTCAGAGTTCTCTTCATTAAAAATAGTATTAGGTATAAATAGAAGGAATGTTATGACAAGAACAACTCAAATTTTTTATTTTTGTTGTACATTGTATTACTCTAATTTGTCCTCAATTGATAGTCTCCATTTTGTGTAATGTAGCGCACCCAAGGCAAAGCTTGGTAACCACTTTTTTCAATTATTTTGAGATATCTCACTTGTATTCCAGATGTGGTGAAATATGGGATTTCAAATTTGACCTGTATTGGTGGTTTTCCATCTACTTCCTCACATTCTACAGAAGGCAAACCAAAATGTGCTCTCATCAAATATTCCTTACCACCAGGAAATGATTTTATTGACCATGTTATTGCATTCTGTTCAGGAGTATATTTAACACTACCGATTGTAGTCTTAAATTTTGGTGAGTCAGCATCAGCAGGCACGGGTATAATAATCTCAACATTATTTGCTGTAGAACGCCTTTTGAACTGTGATTTTGCTTTAATCATATACTCAACTCTTGAGTGTGCATGACGCTCAATAACAGATTCAATCCAAATCAATGGTTTGACATGTGTATTCAGTCTATATGACATCAATTCAAATTCACCATCTGGCGGAATGAACGATATTGTTCTGTCATTTTCGAAACGGGACAGTCTTACACATTGATGGAATTTTACATCTTCAAGCTCAACCGACTTTGATTTTCCTCTTCCAGTGCTTTCAAACAGAACCTTGTCATTCAATCCAAGACGCAATTCAGGCATTCCAGACAAATACACTCTCATTTTTATAGCACCAACAATTTCACTTCTCAAAACATTACCATTGGAATTTGCCAATAAATTCACTGACTCTATAACATCTAAGAACACTTCATTTTTCCGATACTTAATACCCTCAGATCTCCATGAGACTGCATTAGTTACTGCCATAGGTATTCTAGGTTGCATTTCTAGTTTATGACCTTCCTGTGTTATATACTCCTGAAGGATTTTGCTATCAGTTGTTTGTGGATAGCCAAAATCAATTAGTTCATCCAACAACTCGTAAATTACCACAAAATTATCACGAATACTTTCTTCCTCTAGTTCTTTGAAGTATTCGGTCATGACTTCAACTGTTTTATACAGAAAAACGAAAACCAGCGCTATATTGGCATTTTTCTTTGTAGTTGACACAATATAAAGATTGTTGGTTTTAATATAAGCAAAAGTACATTCGCTGGTCTGCAGTAATGGGCCTAACATTCCTTCCTCCTCCTTCTCCATCAATAAAGGCATGAACTTGTCTATTACACCCATATCCACATCTCCACGATAATTTCGTGATATAAGGACTTTGCCCTTAACATCTAAAATGTATATCGCTGACGAAGACATTTTTACACTGAAAATATTAAATTTAATTTAGTTTTACATGGATATGGCATGTAAGAAAACCTGTTAATTATCAGAATATGAAATAATTAAAGTTGTAATTATTTCATTAAACGCAAAGCAAATTATTAAAATAAATTAAACGTCTTTTGATGGGACTTACATAAAACAAACTTTGCTATAATTTAATAAACCATCATAACAATTAATCCACGAAGAATAATCGTAAATCGTGATGACGCAATGTGACGTACGTCATTTTCAAGTAATCTATGGTCATTTTCTAATGACAACTTACAATGCCGTAGACAGAGAAACCGATAGACCATAGATAAATAAATACGTAGCAAGCTACGATAGACTATGATTAGCGTGACCTAGAGTGAGAAAGAACGATAACGTATTTTTAGGTTATACAATAATCTTTATGACTTTTAAAATTATTTTGATAAAATTATTAATTGTTCTTAGAACTGAACTCAACAAGATTCACCAATCTTAAGCTCACAAAACACTTTTTTCTCACTTAAACCAACTTGTAAACTCCTTAGATCGCTATTTGCTAAACAAAAAAACCGGCACGGAGAAAGGGACAAGCAATCACACCGCTCTGTCTCATTTCTATGCAAGACGTATGCATAAATCTATCTTTTTCGTGTGCGAATGCGAAAGAAGGCGTCAATTTGTCTATAGGTTTCTCTGTCTACGTACAATGCAGTGTGACTATCTTTAAAATACAGATCCTGCCTTATTTTGGTTAAAAGTTAAAACCTTTAAAACCTGTCAAAGTCCGTAGCAAAAAATGCCTAAATACTGCCATCTTTATTTACCACATGGACCCAGAAAAAAGGGCGGATGCCGTCTCTTAAAACAACTACTGACGCACCCATAGTAAGTCAGTTCGCTAATACAAACAAGCCGGCACGCACCCATGCACACCTCGTAAGTCTACTGCCCGCCATACGCTCCAATCTGCGCTCGCGTAGTCACTCACACATAGTTAAACGGCCGCCATTCATCATCATCATCATCATTACAGCCCTTCACAAGTCCACTGCTGAACATCCTTCCCCAAGTAATGCCACAAAGCACGGTCCTGAGCCACCTGCATCCATTGACTTCCTGCATGTCTTATAAGGTCGTCACTCCAGCTTGTGGGGGGTCACCCTTCACTACGCCTACCGGTACGAGGCTGCCACTCGAGAACCTTTCTTCCCCATCGGTTGGTTTTTGAGCTATATGGCCGGCCCATTGCGACTTCAGCTTACTAATTTGTTGGGTTATGTCGGTCACTCTGGTTCTACTGTGGATATGCTCATTTCTGAGTTTATCATGCAGAGAAACTCCGAGCATAGCCCTCTCCATAGCTCGCTGAGCGACCTTGAGCGTCCTCATACGGCCAGCAGTGAAGGACCACATCTCAGATCCGTAAGTCATCACCGGCAACACGCACTGTTTGTACAATATAGTTTTCAGAGTTTGAGGTATACCTGACGAGAAGATGTGTCGTAATTTCCCAAACGTTTCCCAGCCGAGTTGAATCCGCCGATTGACCTCTCGGTCGAAGTTGGACTTACCTAGTCGGACTATTTATCCCAGGTAAACGTACTCGTTAACAACTTCGAGCATAGTGCTCCCAAAAACTGCCGGCATAGGTGTGACGTGGACATTAAACATGATCTTTGTTTTGTCCATGTTCATCTTAAGACCTATCCGTTGGGGACACCATTGAGGTCATTGAGCATAGTGCTTAAGTCCTCCAGCGATTCTACCATAAAGATTATATCGTCGGCAAATCGAAGGTGAGTGATGTACTCGCCATTGATGTTAATAACGTATCCTTTACGGTCCAGTAGCTTGAAAACGTTTTCCGACGCAGCGGTGAAGAGTTTCGGGGATATAACGTCACCCTGTCTTACACCTCTTTGCAGTTGGACAGGTTTCGAATTCTAGTTCTGTACTCGGATAGCCATCGTAGCCCTATTGTACCAACACTTCAGCACTTCGATATACCGACAGTCAACTTGGCAGCGCTGAAGGGACCGTAGCACCGCCCAAATTTCAACGGAATCAAATTTCTCATAGTCCGCATACACCAGGCAAAGTGACAGATTGTACTCTTCGGTCTTCTGTACATTATGCCGCAGGGTATGTATGTGGTCTATGGTACTGAAACCTTTTCAAAAACCGGCTTGTTCGGGAGGCTGGAAGTCGTCGAGTCTGCGTGCGAGACGATTCGTAATGACTCTTGAAAACAGCACGTAGACGCGGCTCAGAAGGGAAATCGGTCTGTAGTTCTTCAAGAGCGTTGTCGCCTTTCTTAAAGAACAAGACCACCGCACTTCTGCTCCACGCCTCCAGAGTAGTGCCACCATGGAGGACGGAATTGAAGAGCTTCTGAAGGACTTTAAGTACCGGCGTTCCACCCGCTTTCAGAAGCTCCGCTGTAATTCCATCCTCGCCTGGGCTTTTGCCGTTTTAAGGTGCTGGAGAGACATTCTAATCTCGTTCAGACTGTCGTCCGGGTATCATCAAAATAGTGTCGGATAAGACTTGCTCTTGGATCGTTACTTACACTTGCGTGTGGCTCCAACGATGATGTGTACAGCTGCCCATAGAACCTCTCAATCTCACACAAAATCTCAGGTGTCCCGGAAACTATGCTGCCACACTCAGTCTTCAGCTTTGACAGTTGGCGCTTTCTGGCATACAGATCTCTGGCAAAGACTTTGGAGCCGTGGTTCCGCTCGATCGCTTCTTCAATACGAGTAGTATTAAAGTTGCGTGAGTCTCGTCGCATGCATTTGGAGATCTGTCCTGTCAGTTGCCTGTGTGCTGTCAAATCTGTTGACGATTGCAGCGTCATCTCCCGTCTAACAGCCATGAGATTAAGAGTGTGATTGCAGAGATTTTGTGTTCTTCTGCGGCGGGTCTTGCAGAACTTAGCTCGGTCCACATGGACATGGTTGGCATGGTTTCCACGAGCTTGTCATTCATATCGTCCACTGCATTGCAATATTCTAGGTACTGAAAGCGGTTACGTAACTCGAGCTGAAAGGTTTCGGGATCCTGGATTAGAGCACGACGGGGACGGAGTGTTTACTTCATTAGACGAGACCTCTCCAACTTAACGTTTATGTTCAATGTGCCTCTAACCATTCGGTGATCGCTGCCAGTTTTCACCCTTTCGATCATTGAGATATGTGATCGTCATAATGAAGTCAATCTCATTTTTTGTCGAACCATCTGGGCTCGACTAGGTCCTCTTCCTGTGGGGCCGCTTCTGGAAGAAAGAATCCCTATTTCTCTAACAAGTCGGCCAGCTGCTGGCCCCTACGGTTCCGTTGTCCTACTCCAAATTTCCCTAACTTCAGCTCACCGTTCGTTCTTGTGCCCAGTTTTGCGTTGAAGTCTCCCATTAACACCGTATAGTGAGTTTTGGAGGAATGCATGGCTCTAGAAATATCCTCATACATTTCCTCCACCTCCTCATCCGGATGTTTCGACGTTGGCGCGTAAACCTGTATGATATTTAGCGAATACCGTTTGGTGATTCTGAGTATAAGGTACGCAACCCTCGTCGATTATCTCCCAATCTTTACAACGTTGTTAACGAGAGACTTGTGGACGATCAATCCAACACCTCCTTGTGACAGATGGTCACCCTCCCGGTGATGGAACAAGTTGCCGGATTCGTCACCGTGTCCTCCTCTAATAATCCTATAATATTCCAGCGCAACTTGTCTATCTCTTCTTCCAGCTCCAGGATATTCTCGTCAGTCCTCAGGGTGCGTGCTTTATATGTTGCCAGATCGAGTCGTCATAGGTGGCAACCGAACCTCCACCGGAGATTCTTATCACCCCCTGCCCCGCCGTTACCATGGTCGCCACTGTAGCCAGGAATAGCGGGGCCGCCGGGGATGGGAGGTATTTGATCGTTTCTCATGGGGGGTATATTGCCATAGTTGCCACGCTTGGCGAACGGGTTGGTAACCGTAGTTTTTTTTGTACAGTTGCTGCTATTAGGAAGATGCTGCTGCCCATCTCCTGCCTGTTTCCTTCTGTCGCCTTTTACGATACCCACGGGAAGATATGGGGTAATGGATATTCTTAACCGCCACTACACGGCTTCGCTTGACTTGGCTTGGTTTGTCGGCCACCATTGCGGAGCGTCAATGGTTTCTTAGCGACACTCTGTCCGCCCTTTTTCTAGGTCCATGATTTACCATTGTATTAAAGTAAGAAAAGTAAAAATAGACATTTAAATGCTTTATTATTATTAAAATAAAATTAAACATTGCAGTTAGCATCATATTATTAATTTTTATCATCTTCATACGTGGATTTATTCATTCGATTTAAGATATCTTTTTTTGGTTTGCAATGCAATGCAATCACCATGCTCACCAATGCCTTGTTCAATGTGCAAGATAGACGCTACATGTTTGTTTGTTTTTGAAATTCATTGAGAGAATATTCTTTGGCATGCAGCGTTTGACATTGGTATTCATAGCAGTCCCCATAGTGTAATTTGCAGTACATACAAATTTTATGTGTCTCTTCTGTGACTGATTGAAATATTAACTAAAAACTAGTGTTTACGAATACTTTATTTAAGATTATCAACTTTACATACAAACTTTTAAAATTGTTTATTGAATGTGAGGACACACATGCGAAGTATTCTGCCATTTTAGACATTTTAGTTGCCTTAATGAAATCTATTTTAATGCCCCAAGACTACCAAATACTGCCATGTTTTATAAAACTTTAACCGATCATGCCAAAGGCTAAAATAAGTAGCCAATCCTGTCAAAATGGTAGAAACCTGCCACATATGGTCACACTAACACGCTTATGCAGGCGTCAATCTGCCAACAATCACGATTGATAAAAAACGGATGGTGACTGATAGGCGTACATTACGCGCTCACGCAGGCGTCAATCACTGCATTACACGGTAGGTTATTCGTCCATCAAACCGTGATTGTTGTAAAACTGACAGCCTGCATTAACGTGTAATGTACGCCTAAGAATGAAACTCACGGTGGTGGACCGCCAATCATCCAGATGATGTGGATGGTATCGAGAATTTTGTTGCGACGTTCGTTTGTGGAATTTGGCAACTGGGATTAATCCGAACAATTTCTCAGAGCACTCTTCGTTGTATATGCGATATAAGATGCAAAGGGATGCAACATCTTTTTGCAGCAGCAGTCAATCGAACTGGTCGGAGAGGACTCGGCCGTCGATGATTCG